CACTTATTTAGAACATTTCAAACCACCCCTGAGAAAGAAAATTAAAAAACTAGCTATTAACTAACTTTCTAAAACAACCCTTAATATTCAAAAAGACACAATCATTTAGGGGTCTTTTGGGAAGAAAATAAAAAGTTAGTTTTTAGCTTTTTATCCATTTTAAATCACATCACCTCTCACATTTTTTACCCACAAAAAGACAAAATAAACTAAAAAAGTCAAAAAATAACTTTTTAACAACTTTTCAAAACACTCCTTAATATGTTTTTCCGTTCTTTGACAACCCACATCAATTGACAACATCATTAAAAATACATAGGGGGTGTTTGTTAGGACTTTTTTGAACCAATTTATACTTTTTAATTTTGGAAAAGTTATTTTGAACTGTTTGGTTAAATTTATTTTAAATAGCTTATAATTCTAACAATTTATTTTAACTCAAAAAAACTGATTCTGAAAAGTTGCTCACTCCTTCCTTCTGATTATCAGTTTCTGCTGTGGACATGTTAATTTACGATTATACTCTTAGATTTTTTTATTTTTTATTTTTTAAAAAATAGAAAAAGATCCAAATGGATTATAGATTATTATTATTATTATTGTTATTATTATTATTATTATTTATGAGAAATGTAGACAAGTAGTGAATAATAAAAAATAAAAGTTAATTGAAAAAGTTACTTCACAGCTTATTTAACAAACTAGGGGTGTGCATAATACCACCGAAACCGCCAAAACCGCTAAAACCGCACCGAACCGCACCGCCAAGGCAAATTCATTATTATTTGTCAATCGAACCGCCGGTTTTTGGTAAGAAAAATGACAAATTCTAGTGACGCTTTTATCAATTCGCCGGTTTCTATTTTTCTTCCAAACCGCACCGACCCGCACCGCTATTAAATCGTGTTTTATAGGATTCTAAAAATTCTTTTTTACTTAAGTTTGCTTGTTGTTCTATACCTTAGAATATAGTATTACATTACTGCTCGAGGGGAATTTTATGTATTGTATTTGATCACTGTAGCTTCCACAGATGCTTGTAACGAACTGATGGCATAGTCGTTGATATTATCATGTTGTTGCTACACTTGCTGCATAAGAAGAAAGCTTCGCAAGATGCTTAACATCACAATATCTCCCGTATTTTTTTTACTCTTTGATTTAAGTTTTGTAATTTGAATTATATTTTTTATAAACCGCCAATCCGCTCGAACCGCCAAGGCAAATTCGCCATTATTTGCCAACCGAACCGCCGGTTTTTGATAAGGAAAATGACAAATTCTAGTGACACTTTTATCAATCCGCCACCCGCCATATGGTTTCTATTTTTCTCTCAAACCGCACCGACCCGCACCGCGCACACCCCTATAACAAACACTACTCAGCAACTTAAATCTATAATCAAACAGTTACACCAAACAGATTAACAGCTTTTGATTAAAGTCATAATCTATAATATGTTAAGTTATAATCTATAATCTGTTTTAACAATTACACCAAACGGGCCATAGGCTTTGGTTGGGGGAGGATTTAGCTAAAATAGTCTATTAAAAGATAAAATAAACTAAAATAGTTAATAAGATAAAATATCACATCTAATTCACAATCATTTTTTTTTTTACCAACTATCAAATCAATTATAAAAAAAGCCAACTAACTTTCTAAACACAACTATTTTAATCAGGTTAAAATAATCAAAAAATAAAATAGCTAACTTCCCAAATAAGACCATAAAAACATAACACACTTGAGTTGATTTGGGTATAACTTATTTTTAAATTTTTTTTATTTATTACGAAAAGATATTAAAAAAGAAAAGAAAAGAAAAAAAAAAAATTAAAAGGGAGAAATTTTCGAAAAGGAGGCGAAGGCGATTGAATGGGCAAGTGTTTTTTTGGGAAAATAGTGGAAAAAAAAAGGGGGGGGGGGGGGGGGGGGGAATTTTAAAAAAATAAACAAACCCCAAACAATCATTTTCATTTTTTTTTATTGGTAATAACTAAACCCCTTTTTTTTTTTATATTGCAGACTTGTATTTGACTCTGTTTAAACCACCATTTTCTATTAACAACAAAAGAGATCATGACACAGGAGGAGGTTGAAAATGCAAAGGATTGTATTTCTCATTGATAGTTATCGTAGACATTAGGACCATCGGATTTTCGAGCCCATTGTGGGCGACTACCTAGTCGTCACGTACGGTCAAGATTACAAATTGAGAAGGGAACTATTCCTCATAGGTTAATTACAAGTAAAATCTGTTGTTAGACTTAATTTCTATCAAGTTTTATTTAATATAAGTCATAATAAAACTATCGTTAAAAATAATTTTTTGTGATATTTTTTCCATATGTTGCAAAAATTAACAATTATTGCCTTTTTTTATTACGATTTTTATAAATTTTCATTAAACTTATAATTAGTGATTTTTTTTGTGACGAATTTTCCAAACTATCATAAAATTATAACTTTTTTGTGACGATTTTCTTAAATTGTCACTCAAACTTATAATTTGTGAAATTTTTTGTGACAATTTTTAAACTATCACTGAAAATTAACAATTAATGAAATTTTTTTAATAGTATTTGATGAAAAATATCATTAATTATCATAGGACCTATTGGATAATAAGTTCATCTATTAGGACCTACACATAAGTCTCTCTAAATCTTTTAAGATTTACTTAAAAAATTAAATTTTTTTTTTTTACTTTTAAAAATTGTATTCCAACTCTTTAACTTTTTAATTGCATAATTAATAACTCTTTTTATTAATAAATTGTTTAGTTAATTAATAATTTTTAATGATAATAAAAATATATTTCAATTGAAAATTTATATATTTTATTATTGTATAAGAGAAAAGCTAAGAATTTTATTTTTTCTGTTAATTCAGTTAAATAAAAATTTTGACAAAGAAGTAAATATAATTTTTAAAACTACAAAGAGCAATCCGTATTATAATTAAATTTTTATAATTTACTTTTCTTTATCACTAATTTATACAATTTTTTAATACACATTTTTCCATAAAAAGTCAAAAAGTTAACCCAAACATCCATATTTTTTTCCTCAATTTTTTAATCAAAAAAGATAAAAAGTGCACTTATTTAAGACACCCCAAACAACCCCTTAATATTATCATAATATCTATATATATGTTATTGTATAATTATTGTAAAATGAATATAATACCTTTTAAGTTACATATAATATAATTTTATGTTACATAGTGGGATTTTTTTTTTTTAACACAATTATATTATAGATTGAAAATATAAAAAGAAAAATGCTTGCTACCCCCAGCTGGGGGTGACCCCCAGTGAGGTGTCAGCTGGGGGTTGGTCCGGAAAAAATAGTTTTTCTTTTTTTTTTTATTTTGATTTCCGACCAGTGGGGGCGCGCCACGTCACTGGGGGCGCGACCCCCACTGGGTGTATGAAGCAAGGTTGTAATACACCCCAAAAAAGGGTGTGTTTCAGTAATTAGTAATACTACAAATCCGGATTTAATTATGTAAAAATTACTCAAAATATTTTTTCTACATATAAATCTCCTACCAAATAAATTTAATTTTTACCACACAATTACCTACCTAAAATATTTTGGGTGGATATATCTGGTCTGTGGACTCTCTTTTTTTTGGGGGGTGGCCAAAATTTTCAGTAATTTCCCCTCATTTGTGGTCTAACTCTTCAGTAATTTCCCCTCATTTGAATTCTAACTCTTCAGTAATTTCCCCTCATTTGAATTCAACCCCAATGTGGGCTTTGTGGTCATCATTGTCAAGATTGGGAAGAAATTATTCTTTTAGTATGTCGGTAATCTCACGAGAAGGGTTTGCTTGTTTGTTTTGTTTTGTTTTTTTTTTGGTGTGTCAGAAGACTGCATTTCAGCACTTGGCCACAGTTTTAAGGTTTGTTTATTTAGTGTTTTTTTTTTAAACTTATTTTTGTATTTTAGTGAAAATTTTTAAAAAGTTTTTAGTCTTTAGTTCGACAAGACAAAATGATATTTTTTTAAAAATTTTATAAAAAAAAAGTTAAGAGAAGAAAAAAAAAAAAAAAAAAAATAGTGGACTTTTTTAGCTTTTTTTATTTTTTCAAATATTTTTTCAAAATTTTCAATTTTATTTTACTTTTTAAATTTGTCTTCACAAAATGAACTAGAAAAAAAAAATTTGACATAATTTAAAAAACAAAAGTCAATAAAGACAAATTTGAAAAAAGAATTGGCTTATTTAGCCAATAAGCTAACATTGATGGCTGTTTTTTTTCTCCCACATATTTCTGTTTTTAATGAACTTTAAAAATAAAATAAAAAAATTAAACTTCTAGTTTCAACTTAACAATGTAAGGTTTATCTGAATCCAAATAATTTAATTATGTGAATTTCAACTTTTTATTTAAATTGACCCATGATTTTAGATTTTCATTGGTTAACTCTTAAAATTTAGCCTTTAAATTTTTTTGTTAAAATTGAGCCTACTCTTGCCAACCTAATTAAAATGTGCTTAATGATCCTTATTTTCTCGATACAATCATTCATTCAAGTTGATATAACTTTTTCTTTGCTGATAAGGGAATATCAACTTTTTATTTGAAATTAAAATTAGGAGTTTGAAAGTAATTAAAAACTACTATATATAATAAGTACCAAAAAAAAGAAAAATGCTTGGGAGCACTAATTAGTGCTCCCACTAATTAGGTGGCAGTGGGTCCCGTCCACTAATTAGGTGGCAGTGGGTCCCGTCATTAATGATGTGATGTTTTGGTCTTGGAGTTGTATTTTTTTTTTATTTTTTTTACCTTTTTAATGCATTAGTGCTATTAGTGGTGATATTTTTAGTGGGATGAATCATTGTTGCAAAAAAAATCCCCATTCACCTACTCAAGGCTATTTGATTAGACAATGAGAGAGTGTGCACACAAGTGACTGTAAAAAGAAAATGACAACCTATATACACTCTTGAAAAACATCGACTTTGGGTTAGCAAAATAGCCAAAGTGTACAACCCTTTAATGCCTGAGGCCCCATTGCTTTTTGTGTCTTAGACTTTATTCCATTTTGTGTAAGAATTATAAGAAGCTCTTCTTCCCATGATCCATCCCCCCAAAAGCCCCCCACACACTATGGAAGAAACTCTTAGTATAAAATGGGATGATCAAACCACCTCTTCCACTTCCTCCACCACTACCACCACCCCTGTTGTTGCCACTGCTACGTCCTCGGGACCCAAATTAGTGGCAAAAGAAGGCTCAAAGAGAGTTCAAGAAACCGAAATTGGTACTGGTGAGACTAGCAAGAAGAAGGTTAAGAAAGGTGATGATGGAAAACACCCAATTTACCGCGGCGTACGGAGGCGGAGTTGGGGCAAATGGGTGTCCGAAATTCGGGAGCCGAGGAAGAAGTCGAGAATATGGCTTGGGACCTTCGCAACGGCTGAAATGGCTGCTCGAGCCCACGATGTAGCTGCCATTGCAATCAAAGGCCAGTCTGCTCATCTCAACTTCCCGGAGTTGGTCCATGAGCTACCTAGCCCGGCTTCCAAGTCACCAAAAGACATTCAAGCCGCGGCAGCCCAAGCTGCCGCCTTAGCCACACTTAGAAGCCATGAAGCAGAAGCTGAGCTGAGCCAAGCTGAGTTGATGAGCTCCCAATCTTCCTCTGATCATGAGTCTGGAGAATCATCAAATTCACCTCTAAGCAACATTGATGACCCATTTTTGGACCTGCCAGACCTCTTCCTCGACTTCGGCCATCAAATGGATGAGCGGTATTACACACCGACATGGCAGCGGAGCCGAATCGAGCCAGTTTATGATGAGTTTTGGGCTGAAGAAGACCCTTTCTTATGGGTTTACTGCTAGAGGTAGCTGTGATGCCTCAAATTGGCTGCACCATTTGGCTGAAAATTATGTGTCCAAATTGATGCTTAAGTGGGATCAAGAAAATCAAGAAGAACAAGTTTGATTATATAGAAACATTACAAGTTGATCAGTTTGGATTTTCATGGCTTGAAAGTGTTTGCTTCTCTGTGAACATTACTCATCCTTTAAAGGTTACAAGATGTCTTGGTCTTCATCTCCTATTCATGATATACAACATTAAGGTAGTGTTTGATTTACTAAAATAAAATTAAAATAAAGTGAAATAAAATTATCATTTTTAATCTCTTTATAAAATAATTATTATTTTATAATAATAGATCATGATTCCATTTAAAAATTATTTTTCATCATTTTTAATGAACCAAATTGTTGGATTAATTATTTTATTTTAATTTTATTTCAATGAACAAGCGCTAGGTTATAGACAAAATTCCATATACATTTGACAAAGATTTCCCCATTCCTTCTATCCGTTATATGTTTATATTAAATAGATTCATGGTGAAATAGAAAGATAATTTAAAATCAACAATGATTTAGACCACTAAAAAATACATCACTAATAGCACTAATATATTGGGAATGGCAAAAAAAATAATAAAAAAATAAAAACAAGGCATAGAAAGTGGACGGGGCCCACTGCCACATCATTAGTGCTCCCTTTAGTGATCTCTTTTTAGTGCTCTCAAGCATTTTTCAATTTAAAATAGATAAATATAACAATCTGGTCTACATGTACATCATTAGCCCTGTAGTAGTTTTATGGAATAAAATATTTTACTTGTCTACATGTGCATCATTAGCCCTGTAGTAGTTTTATGCAATAAAATATTTTACTTGGGCTTTTTACCCAATTATTTTTTTTGGGGGGGGGGGGTAAATTAATTTGGAAACCCCATATGATGGAATTATTATGTAGTGGTGATGTCATGTTGGCTTTCACTTTAGCCTATATATACTTCTTTTTGTGATATTTTTATAATACTAGAGAACTTGTGTTACATATAAAGAAGCATATGGAAGGAATAGAATAATGCTATCTGTATACATGTTTTATTAAAAAAAAATATTTTAAACACGAATATAGTGGGGTGTACATTGATAAATACATTGCCTTGTATTAGTTTGCGTTGGGTGAGCAAGTGACTGTACTAGTTATTTAGATGTCGACTTAGGATCTTCCCCATCAAGTTATGATGCTTCCCCCGTCTTCGCCTCTTGATGTGTCTTCGAATATTGTCCCCAAAAAAAAAATGTGGAATGCATACCTCTGTGTTTAATGGTAAGCAAATCAAGTTAAATCTATTTATATATAACATTTTTTAAAGAAAAAATTTAAGAACACAGAGTGGGTGTTTGAAAAATGGATTTTTTTTGTAGGTTTTTTTAGTTGTAGGATATTATTAAAAAAATTTTTTTGTATGTTTAAGAAGATAGTTGGGTTTTTTTGTGGTTGGATGTGATATTTGTAAAAAAAAAATGAAATGATTATGGGGTTTAGTGTGATATTTTGTTTGAATTTGTTTTTTTGATTTTATAAAATATTTGTCTTGTAGTAAAAAAAAACCAAAAAAAAAACCAAAAACTAAGTTTCCAAACACCCCTAGAAATTGATTAGAGAATCAAAAACAATCCTATCATATGAAATCAGTCCCACCTTTTGTAACTCTTACACCCATGTAAGAAAGTTGTATACAATTTTGTTATTGTTTTTTATACAAATAGAAGAACGATTTTCTTAAGGCTTAGTTTGATTAGATAGATAATCACTATAAAAAATTAATGTTTTAGAAACTAAAATTTAGGAACAAAATTATTTTTTACGGACCAAATATTTTTGTTACAAAAAATATCGTTATTATATTTTGTAGAAACGAAAATTAGACATTAGTGGTGAATTATTAACTTTTTGGGATCAAATTTTTTTCTCAAAAACTAAACCATTTTGAGACCAAATTATTTTGTCCCTAAAAGTATATTTATTAGTGACATTTTCAGAATTTTGTCGCTAAATGTCTTATTTTTTACTCTTCAGGGCGATCTTTTAACGACTATCTTCACAACAATAGAAATTGGTTTCTAAATGTCTTTTGTAACAAAATTTTCACTTTTAGAAACGAAAAAACTCTCATATGTTGCAATGAATATGGGAAAGTGAAAGAAAAGAAAAGAAAAGCAAAGAAAAATTATATGTTTGTTTTGATAGAGTTCTAGAAAGTAAATGAAAACTAAAATTTCTTGTACAACTTAAATTAATTTGTTAATTAGGCTTATTTCTTGCAAATTATGCCAAGAAATATATATTTTTTTTTTTCACACAAAACTTTGTTTCCCTTTTTGCTCATACTTCTTCCCCCAACTTCCTTCTATGCGATGATTACACTTTTTCTCATCATTTTCTTATAAAATTTTCTATCTATTCAAATGCATGTAAAAAAAATAAATTTGTCTCTTTTTCTTTTATTTTACTTCACTTTTTACTATGCCACTTTCTATTATTCATTTCTTTTCAAACCGACAAACCTAATAGAATACTTGATTACGAAAATGAAGAAAAAGTGGATTGTTCTATTAATAATTATTGAAACTAAAGAAAGAGAAATTATTCATCCAATGTTTTCACTCATACAATGAAGACAATAGCTGGGTACCTGTTTGTACACACATCACACTTTATACTTTCGTCCACAAGACTTTTTTGTTTTTGCTTTTTAGGGGTCGTTTAGGATTACCTAAATAAGTATATTTTTTGTCTTTTTTCGAAAAGATATGCAGAAAAGTAAAGAGTGATGTGATGGAAAAAAGATAAAAAATGTGTATTTATTTAGGATAGCCAAATTTAACCTTATTATTATTATTATTATTTAACGTCTTCTTTCTTTTTTTTTTTTCTTTTTTAAACAAGGGGTAGGTATGCCTATAAGTCAGGTTAATACACATTGTTCTGAAAAGAGAAAAGGAACTAGACTAAAAATATGATGCTGCTGCATGAGTTGATTCAGTCAATTAAAGGGGAAAAAAAAAATAGAACTTTCTCTTTTTTCTTTATTTTTCTTTTTGCTTATCCACTTTACTTTATTAGCATTCCTGGGTGCATGAATCACGTATTATATCCTAATGTTTGGAATGTCCTGAATTAGGATTGTTTGGTACAATTTATTTAAATTTTTTTATATTTTTTTATTCTCAAAATGTGTGTTAGATTATTTGTTACATTTTCTGCTTATAATTTATTAGATAAATAATTTAAATAAGTTGAAAAATCTTATTATTTGGAAAGATAGAAGAAATGCTTTCAACTTCTATTTCTTTATTATTAACTTTTAACTTACAATAACTAACACCAAATAGGTCCATTAAGAGAGAATTAATAGAATCATATCTTATTTCTTGTTTGTTTGAAATTATTAGAAATGGACTATATAGTGTAATTACTATAATTTGAGGGTATTAGTCTTTTAATTCCTTAAAGTTGAATTCCATTAATTCTCTCATTATCTAGATATTTGGTGCAAGTTTTTTTTTTTTCCCTAGAAATTTGTGTCAAAATATGTAGTGCAATTTCTACTTATAATTTTAAATACAAAAATAAAATAACTTATTATTAAAAAATAGAAAAATAAATATTTTTTAAATTTTAAATTTTAATTATTATTAACTTACAACTTTATAAAAAAAAATAAAAAAAAAACCGCACATACAATATACAAAATCTACATAGGCTTAATTTTGTATCCAAATGTAAAATTCAAAAGAATGAATAGTTCAATCCCATCTCAAAACAAACCCCAGAGTTTTTACGCGGAATTAAACGGGTAGAATGATTAAATCCTAAAAGGCACATTCGTACGTAGTACGAAAACAATGTGTGGCCTCAAATTCAATATCGCCAGCTATCTTTTCATTGTCCACGTCTTAATAGTAATTACTCCAATCAATCTTAACATGCCTTAACTACAAATTAATATAAAGTTTGACAAATTAGGAGGCTAGTTTTGTAATTGAGATCCATAATTATGAGAAATTTTACTATACACACCCTTTGAAAGTGTATTATATGTACTTTTAAATATGTCATTTTGTTTTAATTATGATTAATTTTTTTTTATTGCAATAATATTTTAGTTGATTCAGAAGATCTTTGGTTATGTCTCTTGTGATATTTGATTATAATTTTTTTTATTTTTAATTATGACTCATGAAGCATGAAAATGTTCATTTTCTTCTTTAATTATAAAATACATAATATACACCTTTTAATGAATATGTACCATAGTTTTTCGCCCACAATAGTATGCACATTTAAGCCTATCTTGGCAATAGAATATTTTAGTCAAAAAAAAATTAAAAAACCATTAAAAAAATTAAGGGATAATTACAAAAACAAACATAAAAAATAAAAAGAATAAGGATTTGACCATTCTAACAAAATAGGTCATGAATTTTTTATTTTATCAATTGAAATCCTAATCTTTTGATTTATTTTTAACTTAGGCCTCGTTTGGGAACAGGCTAATTTAGTAACTTTTTGGCTATTTGGCTAAAAAGGTAGGTAAAAAAAACTTGTATGTTTGTTAGTCAAAAAAAATTAAAAAACCATTAAAAAAATTAAGGGATAATTACAAAAACAAACATAAAAAATAAAAAGAATAAGGATTTGACCATTCTAACAAAATAGGTCATGAATTTTTTATTTTATCAATTTAAATTCTAATCTTTTGATTTATTTTTAACTTAAACTATTTGCCTATTTTCGGTAACTAAAACCGACGAAAATATCCATTATTAAATTCAATGAAAATTGACATTTTAGACATTTTTGAGTTTAATATAAAATATCCATTTTTCTTTCAGTTTTACCTAACAAAAATAGATAAATTGTTCCAATAGAAAACAAATCAAAAGTTCAATATTTAAATTGATAAAATTAAAAATTTATTTTGTTACAAGGGTCATCGGGTTTTTTTGTAATTTTTTCATTTGTACGTTTTTTTATAAAAAGTTAAAAAATTATTAAAAATTCAATTCCCAAGACAATCTTATTAACTTTTTCATAAGCTAAAAAAATTAATATGTTTGTGAAATTATTTAAAAATATATTTTTTTTTGTGAGTAAAAAATTTGATTTTTTTTTTTTTTTGGCCTTTTAAGTTAGGAAAATCCTATGTATAAATGGATTATGTAACCAGAGCATTTGGCAGAGTAGCTATGTATAAGAGTTGAATCGAAGCCTTACACCACAAACACCACAAAGATCTTTGTGGTATGGGGCTCCAGTTCACC